TTCTAGACAGTCGAATACAAAATGTTTTATTCGTGTATACATATACCACAGGTGGGCAAAGTTCGGCCCGCGAAAATATATTAAAAACCCTATGTGTGACCCCAAAAAATAATCCGCTTAGTGGCCGCCATCTTGAAATTTAAAATGGCCACCAAAATATTGGATTTTTATCAATAATGTTTTTGATCTACTTGTTTATTATATGATGCAAAAACGCTTCTAGACAGACGAATACAAAATGTTTTATTCGTGTATACATATACCACAAGTGGGCAAAGTGCGGCCCGCGAAAATAAATTAAAAACCCTATGTGTGCGGCCTGCCAAGCAACATTGGCTAGAAAAGATCTTATTGTTTACGGGCAGACGCCGTTTATGTAAAAAAAAGTAACATTAAACTGAGAATAAATTGGTGTAAAAGCAGTGCTTTGAAGATTTTGGAAACTCAATGGAAACATCAAAGTTTGGGTGCATCTGCATGCAGTTTGAGTGCATTTAGCACTGTTTCTGTCATTATTTGATTAGTTATACCACAATGCTACGCAGCAACATTGATTCTATGTTACTTCATTAAATACATGTATGACTTACTTTGGCAAACAGTATATCAACAAATAGTATAAGGAAATTTTTTTTTTATTTGACAGGATATTTCCGATACGATACTCACATCACTCGCATTTATTTGAGCTCTGTTTTCACCATTATTTAATTATATAAACAGAGTGCTACACACAAAAATTAATTATATACATACATACATACACATATATATATATTATATATTATATAATTATGCATATTTGAAAATGATATCTAGTTTATTCGATATTATTGCCTTCATACCATTACTTGAATGTGATATTTAATTTATGTCTACATAATTTCATTTATGCTAAAGTTATCTATATGCTTTTCTTAATTTTTCTTGATTTTTCTTTTATTACTTTTCACTTTCTCCATTATATTCATTTTCTATTCTTTTTATTTCTTTTCCTTTCCAGCTTTTCTTTAATTTTCTGTTTCTTTTCCTTTCAATATTTACATATGTGTTTATATACCATTTGAAAATGATAATTAGCCATCTCATAGGCATGAGGTCTATTCGATATTAGTGTCTTCACACCATTAATTTTAATATTTGATTTACGTTTACATAATTTCATTTATGCTAAAACTAGCTTTAATATAGATGATTTTTTAATATCTGCATCTATCTCTCTCCCCAGGGAAGATTTGAAGACTGAGTAGACTCAAAATCGATTAGGTTTTAGGTTTTAATTCAAAGAAAATACCACTATGGCACCTGCCACCTAATTTTCGCCTCGGATTTTTTCCACTAGAAGATTTTTTTTCCATCCAGCTATTTTTCCAGGCTATTTCTTAAGGCTGTTTTCCAACTGCTATTTCCCCCCGGCTGTTTTGTCCCAGTATTTTCCGTTGTATTTTTCCTCCTAGTTTTCCAACTGAATGTTTTCATCAGTTTACCTATATGTGTAAGGTGGAACACATTATTTGTTTATGCTTTTGTTTTTGTTTTGTAAGGTTACATCATAAATGTGTGCCGATAATAAAAAACCTTATCCAATCAATTAACTGATTGACTCTTGATGCATTTGAAATACTAATGAAGCCAAAAGACTCATTGTAGAAACGTGATTTTAAAAAGTTTGCTTCTGTGTTCACACAAAAAAACAGGAAACCTCTTTTTAACATTGAGTACTCTTTTGTACTATAAGTAGCACACTTATTTCCTGGTCGGTCTATATATCCTACTTAAGTTTTACTGCATCAGCTAATAATAATCTGGCAAGGAGTGGAAATATTATTTCCACCATTAAGAATGTCTGGTAGTGGCCATTCTTGTACTATGCCGAACATTTTCTAGTAGGTTTTATTGGGTTAACTCACAAGCTGATCTATTATGATATTCAATTGGTGTGATATGTGCTGTACATATGAATACATAGGCTAAAATTAATTATTTTGGCGGCCATATTAAATTTCAAGATGACGGCCATTTTGAAATTTAATATGGTGGTCATAATTTCTGATGGCTGTATGGTAGTCCCTGTTATGGAAAACATGTGCAACGGTCTTTGATTGACAGTGCTAGGTACTGTAGATATGAATATTGACAAAATACACATCTAGATGTGTATAAGAGACAGCCCCAACACGGTCCCCCGTGATCATGACGATAGGCGTTTAAAAAGACCCTGTGAGTTCACCCCCTATTAAGAGCCGCGTAAGCCTGTCTCTTATACACATCTAGATGCAGGTGTTTCAGTTGCATTCTACTATCTCTAATCATTATTAGATTCGACCATATCATACTATAAATAATAAGTCCATTTGGGAACCTAGGGCTGCTGTCTGGGCTTATGTACAGGATAAAGTTGCTGTCATTGGTACTTATGTTACCCCCAGTGTATAATAGTGTCAAAAAAAAAATCATCCGTGTCTCTCTTCACATGTCATTCGGGCGTGGCCTTTAATGTCACTGTTTAGGGTCATGTATACATGAAAACATTGCTGTCATCGGTGTTTCAGCATTCTACAATGTACAAATAGTAATTCCTAGTTGGTTTCATTCATGTCTCTCTTTGCTTGATTTTATCATGTTGCTACTATATAAGACCCGCGGGGGTCCCTTGGGGCTGCTGTCTGGGCTTATGTACAGGATAAAGTTACTGTCATTGGTATTTATGTTACCCCCAATGTATAATAATAACAATAAAAACTAGATTTGAACTCGTCACTGAGGACGAGTTTGGTGATCCGCCGTACTTTGACCCTCATGAAGCGCGCCCAGTGCTGATTGAAACGTTTCATAATATGCTAAAATATGCTGTAATTAGTTTTTTTTAAAGAATAATTGTGAGCATTTTAAAAGATTTCCGCATGCGTACACACACGTCTTGACGCCCATGAGCACGGTAATGTCACAAAGAGTGACTCCTGACAGTGTCAGGAACACAAAATATGTAACAACGCGTAATTTCCAGCTTTAGTATGTG